ATAAATTATTTTTTAAAATTATTGATTAAAATCAATTATATATTATTCAATATATAACATCATAACATCTGAAAAATTCATTTGGTACTTAAACCTATTTTCAAAAAAAAGTTAATAAATGACAATATTACATGTTAAATAATAAATAATTTATTTTAATTATTAATTTAAAAAGTAATTCATTTTTAATTTTTTTTAAGAGTAAATCTTTCTCTGTGCTCCTATTTGAGGTGGATTTCGGGTTTTGTCTAATTCTCAGAGTATATCCTATTAAACAATCCACAATGTTACATCCTTAGGAATATCTTGCTTGAGCTTATCCACCAGATATGCTGATGCATGCACATATGGTTTATCTTGGGTACTAGAGTCTAATAAATGTCAGGGACACCTTTCCATAGGGCTTGCATCTGGTCATTTTAGCATATTGAAGCTGACAAATAAAACGACGACTTCTTTAGAGCCAGTTGCATGTGGAGCCCTCAACCGAACTACTTGCACAATGAAACGAAACTAGCCTTTTTTACTTTCCTCCCCCCTCCAAAACCAAGTTGGGAAACCCTATAAGGCCCCACCTTCCAATTCTTGCATTAATGAGAAAGGATAAGATCGCCCACAGGCCCAATTCCAGCATCAAAACTTGGGTGAAATCTGTGTGCACTAAATTTTAATGTATCCCCACCCGGTGTCAGACAGACCTAAAATCTCTGCCAATTACAACAATGATACTTTTGTTTCAGCTGAGACCCACAGTAGTGGAAAAGTATCCCCACTTGTGTCAACCCTTTTAATCATGGCAAAGGAAAAAATCAAGATCAAGTCTCTAGCTAGCTATATAAACTGCTTCCTTTCTCCGATTTTTTAATGTATCTGGTGTTCTAAAGTTCTCTGCCTTGTCTAAAATGTCAACTCTAGAAGAATCATCAACCCTGGAACTCATTCGCCAACACCTCCTAGGTGACTTCAACTCCACAGAAGCTTTCCTATCTGGTCTCGGTTTCGATCTTTCTCCCATCCAATTCGAAAACCTGACGGAGAAGCAAGAACTAGACTCTCCTTCTCCCACATCCAACCCAGATTTCTATATCCCTGAAATCTCTGATCAGGGATCAAAATCTGAACTCCTAGACTTGACATCTCCAGTGTCTGTCACTTCCAGACCAAGAGTATGGGACCTGCCTGAACAGTCTGACGAGCAGGTGGTGAATTGTGGAGAGAGAAAACATTACAGAGGAGTCCGGAGAAGGCCATGGGGCAAGTTTGCTGCTGAGATAAGGGACCCAACTCGGAAGGGGATTCGGGTTTGGCTGGGCACTTTTGATCGTGATGTTGATGCTGCAAAGGCTTATGATTGTGCTGCATTTAAGATGAGGGGTCGTAAGGCCATATTGAATTTCCCATTGGAGGCAGGAGCATATGCCCCTCCAGTAAACACTGGCCGGAAAAGAAGAAGACTGAAGGCTGCTGGGTCGCTGGAATCCGACACCACTTCGCCAGACAATGGTGGGCAGGCCTGGGAGGTGAAGGAGGAGGAGGGTGTCCTGGATTAGAATCAAGTGTCACCATTAGATAGTATTTCATATGGTCAATAATCAATAATATGAAATACGGTCAATAATCAATAATACTAAGATGTCCTTGCAAGATATTTTACTGTTTGAACAGAACTTCCCTACTTGAAAGTATTATATTCAAACTTTAATTATGTCTAGAAGGATTATTTTTTTTTTTTGAAAATAGGTAATATGTCTAGAAGGATTTGAAAAAGAAGAAAACTATCCTAAGTTGTATAGTCTAATGATTCAACAAGCAAAAATAAATAATGAATTTAGAGACAATAAGGTTAAGGCATAGACTATAGACAATGCATAATTGAAGAGTATTAGACTAGCAGGTTAACCAAGAATTTTGATGAGTCAAAGATAAACGTAAATTTGCTCCTTTTTTTTTTTTGGGGTTTTTTTTGTACATAAGATAGTTTTTTTTTCTTTTTAAATAAATTTGTAAAGTATCGAATTTGAACCGTTACCTTGAAAAAAAAAATTGTATTTATACGTGACTTGAAATTATTGGGTCGAAAGGCCCAGCAAAATAATTAGTTATTTGAAATAATAAAAGTTTGAACATTTAATTTAGATTTTAAATTAATTTTTTAATTAATTGGCACTAATTCAACAAAAAATTAACTTAAGAAGTAAGCACGCATAAATGCACCGTCCTACCATGGATGGGAAGTTATTTGAAAAGTATTTTTGTCGAAAACAAATTCTTGACTTACACGCTACTTATTTTCCCAAGGGATGATGTCAAATTGTTTATGCTGACAGGGCGGCCATTGAATGCTGCTACATTATGATATCAGGATATGGGGGACTTTTTATTTTTATTAATTTTTCTATGCTAACTTCTTCTAATTTATTCCTTTCCCATATCATAGTTTAACATATTTTCCGAGGTTTGAAAGTCATTTTTTCAATAATCTCAGATATTTTTTATGGACTAAAACAAGTTTTACTAACCGGTGCATATGTATACACATATGAATGGTTTGGATTTGTGTTGATGTAACTAATCTTGCCATGGAACTAAGTACATCCCTCATGTAATTGTGAGCCTTGGAAAAGAATTCTTATCCATTCGTTTTTACTTAAACCCTGGGATACAACACGCCATTAGCAGAGCCAGGATTTGAGATGAGAGATGAGGTGGGTAATTTGTTAACATTTAAAAATTATATTTGTGTCCAAAGTTTTTTTTTTTTTTTAATTTGTTTTAGTTTTATTAATTTAAAATTTACGTAAAATTTAATTTAATGATTTTATATAGTAAATATATAATAATTAAAAAAATGTTCCCTCTTAACCACAGTGCTTGTTAAATATTTTTATTTAGATTAAAAAATTTTCAATTATAATCAATTTGTTATTTAAAGTATTAACATAAAATTAATAGAGTAGGACAACAAAAGAAAACCAAAGAAAGTGACATATAGCTGTAACTTATACATTTGTGTCTAAATTCAAACTTGGCCATATTCAATATGAAATATATTGCCTTTGAAAATTTGATAATTAGTAAATAATTATTTAGTTATATTTGTGAGAAAAAATAGAATAAAACATGTTTTAAAAAAATGTAATAAGTTTAAAAACACATCAAAAAATGGTATAACAAGTGATAAAATAAAATAAAGATATTTGGCTAAATAAAAACTTATGAGTTAAAGATAAAATTTTAATATTTAGCCTAAAAACATAGATACTGATAACTAAAATAAATATTTTAGATTAATTTTAGGTATTACAAAGGTAATAACATAACTAAGGCTATTTCAAGAACAAAGTAAGGGGGAGGACAAGCGAAGAAATGTAAAAAGTTTAGAGGTTTTTCTTATTAATTTTTGGCTAAAAATATCAGAGTTTAAAATACAATTTTTATATTTAATAAATTAGTCTTAAAGAATTACTAATTATTATGTTAAAAATCTATTTTAAATTTAATGACAAGATTTATAAAAAAAAAGAAATAATTATTATCTTTATAAATATTAAAAATAATTTTTTGATAGAATATTTAAGATAATTAAATAAATAAGATAGCACTTAGACCCTCCGACCTAGTGGCGTCAGGCCACGTATAAATGCATTCTTCCATCTCAGGGCAACGATTCGAATCCGGCTCATTGCGAATTTGTTAAAAAAATAAAACAAAATAAAATTTAAGGATAAAATCCTTAAATGCAAAATTTGAAAACTACTTTTAAAACATTTCAAAAGACCAGGGGACCATGTTCAAAAAAAAAAAAAAGACCAGGGGACCATAGCAGCCACTTGTCTCTTCGTGCTTTCTGGCCACGCCAGTACAACATGCTGATGCAAGGATTTAAATTTAAGAACTTTAAATATCTCAATTTTTACTTTAATCACCTTGTAAAGATTATGGTTTTGTTTGTGTTGTCCCATAACGATTTTTTTTTTAATAATTTTAAAATATATAAAATATTAATTAAAATTAATAAAATATATAAAAAAATTAATTAAAATTAATTAAAAATATAAATTTACATTCTAAAATAAGAAACTCTGAAAATGTCAATGTGAAGCACTTTGACAAAGGAAAGCCAATACTGAACAAAGCCTACTAGTAACGTCTAATGCAGCATAGAAAAAACTAAATTACCATCTCAATCAAAGTTCTCATTCTAAAAATAAGAAGTTTGACTTCTAGCCAGAAGAAAAATCGACTTTGCACAAATAAAAGGAAATAGAAAAGAAGATTAGTCTTCTTTCAGTAACTGAACAATTATACAGAGTTACCATGAGAAAGCACAAAGTCAACTCAGCTGGAATTGAGTAACTAACCTGATAGAGAAGTCGACAGTGGCCCGCAACTTATTTATGAAGGTGCATGTATAATCTCTCCATCAGAGAGAGAGATTATCTCTAAACATCCTTGCTTACTGGTCAAGTTGCACCGGGGACCCCAGTTGATTATGGTTGCTCACATTTTGTCACCTAATGCTGTACAAAACTATAGGCAATGCATGTATCGTACAAGGTGGGTACATAGACAGTTGTAGATGACAATAAACAATGGCAGCAAGTTGCATCTTGAAAACAAAAACAGCATATATTTACTTATCTGTCACATTATCATCACCATCATCATCATCATCATCCTCCGGCTTTTATTGGGATGATCTCATCATCAGTTGCTTACTGGATTTCAATATTATGTAATAATAGTGACAGTTTTAGGATAAGCCCCAATAATTAGAAAGTAGGATGAACCAACAACATTTTGCTTTGTCTACTTCAATATCTAAGCTTACAAATGGTTAATCACAGCATCGCTAGTGGGTCCATTACCTCTTAATCCTTGATTATGTAGTCAAGGGGTTAAGTAATAGCTTCGCACTTCAAAATTTTCTCAACCACAAAAGTGAAAAAAGTATACGTAGCTCTCAAATTTTCTTGATCTAAATCATGTAGTCAATACAAATCTACATTCTACCCTTCAAGTTCTACGCATGCTTGATATAAGTAAAGTTAGCTCATCAAAATTCAACCAAATGACAACCTAACTTGAAGTGAAACAGCTACTCTGCATCTGAAGAGAAAATAGAAGGCAGAATGAACTATGTTGAGGAAGATACAGATGCATTTGGGTTGAGCAGACTATTACAGGACATGTCCAAACTAGAGTCGAAATGAGGGCACTTAACAAAAGCACAAGCTAACCAATGCAAAGGTAAGGTAGACCCCATTGTCTTCCCTAATTGGTATATGCTCTTACAGCTGAATTATACACACTCCAATATAAGAACTTACAATTAGGGGTTTCCTTTTCCACATCAGATGATGGAAACAGAATGCTTGATTTGAAAAGATAAGTTGAACAATTTTAAACAGAATTGAATTATTATTATTATTATTTTCTGAATAAACAGAATCGAATTATTTGAATCAATTCATCTGAAATATCTACATTCACTCTCCTATAAATTGACAAAAAAGTGCTGTTAGACGTCAATTACATACATTATTAAGAATGTCTCACTAGACAACAAATTCTTAAAATATGCAAATCAAACGGTAAACAAATAAAATAGTTACCATTAGCACAAGCTATATGGTGGATCGTATGTTGACTACATAAGAAAGGCTGTTTAGGATAAATTATGGCTCTTCAGAATATCAAGCTCAAAGGCTTTCACAACAATAACTAGAAGCAATAGATGCCTCACTGACCTGCCTTAATTTTAGCTCCCATCCATGAAATCTAAGTGAATGTGCTCTTGTTGTTGATCATATCAAACGTTTCTCCAGTAACTTCTTGAACTGACTCATCACTACTGAAGAAACTAGGCTGATTTGTAGATGCAAGAAGTCTTGCCCACATCCTATCAGTCAACTTCACAGTGTTTGTTCTCTCAGTCACCCGCTGCAACACCATATTGTACCATTCAAAATTAGACATCAACTCAAATCAGTTTAGTGCTTTAACATAATTTGTTTGCTAAACCAATTTAGTAGCATAGCAATGACATACATTTTCTTCTGTTTTTTTTTGGAGTTATTTCAAGGTATGGAAAATAAATTTCTTCATATGTATATTTATTCTTGCAAAAGGAGGTCACAAAAATGGCAAAGCTAATCAGCAACCTGTTCTAGCATGACTGGGAATATAGCTACTGTACTAGGTTCAAACAGTATTTAATGACAAAAAGCAGGAGATTGATGTCATATATACAAATAAAAATACAAGGAACCTCTATATAGCTTGCTCTTGCAAACTTCACCACAAACCCCAATTAATAGCATGCTGGAAAAGGTCCAAAGGTTTGATTGCCAAACACAGCAAGAGGATGTGTTTTAGATCTTACTTTAAGGTGGCTTTCGATGATAAAATGTGAAAGAATACATAGAAATGAGTAGTCCACAACAAACAGTCATCTGCTTCAGCATCTAGAATCACCCTTGTACAAGTCAGTTCCTAGCGTTTGGAGGCCCCAAAAAGAAAATATTTATGACACCATGGATGATACATATCTGAAATAAATCTTACAACCTAAGCAAACTCTTGCTGCAAATTATACAAGTCGTATAGTTTTCTATTTTCCTATGCTTTCAGCCAATATAAATATATATATATATAGGTTTCTATTTTAACTCCCCTAAAATGATCAAAGAATGAAGCAAAATAAAGAGTCCAATAAGTATAACGAAATTTATGACTGTTCTGATATGTTGACTTATATATTTAACTGTGAATATGAGTTTGTGACTGAGTAGTACACCCCTGTAGAGCTCTGTTTTCGCAAGATCATTGACAAACCATTTCCATTTCATTATATAAGCAAAATCAGATAAAAGCCTGCATCATTTAACTCCAAAAGAAAGCTAATAGAGTAATTAGTATTAAAGCTTACAGCTATTGGAATATAAGCATGTCTGCTATTCACAGGTCCAACAGTGAAGCCAGTGTACCCAGCCATGGCCCCATGAACAGCACTTTGGGCCAGAAGAGTGCAGTAAATGTTGTCTGATGCATTACTTGGAATGGCTCGTATCATATATGTTGGATCTGCAGAGGATAAAAATGATAAAAGGAACAAATTTCAGTGCCATGAATAAAGAATAGACTGAATCTTTCCAAAAGAAGAAAGATCCAATCCAACATTGATTGGCCAGAAAGTCTTGTCCAACTTTCATACAACTCAAAGAAAGTAAAGATTTTCTTTTCTTTTCTTTTCTTTTTTAATGTATAGCAAACAGATATTATCCTCAAAAGGCAAAGATGAGTAATATGAAACATTATTCTCATGAAGGTAGACAGAACAGAAATTTGATTCAGTTATCACTATGGTTACCTATCTCAATTAGACAAAACATAGCCCAAACTGATACAAATAGAAAAATTAGCGCTCAAGTGAGGCTGTCAGCAAAGCTCTTGCACCATAATTTCACAAAACCCAAAATTCATCTTAATTAACAACTGGAATTGCTATTTAGCTAATCCATCAGTTCAGGTCCTATCATCTGTTTGCAGTGCATGGCTTAAATTCACTCACATATTAAAGCGATAAAGTAGTTGTCTCAGTATTTTTATATATGAGAATTTCCATCTTGTAGATGTAACACTACTTAGAAACATATCATCAAGTTATAACTGTAGATATACTTTCAGAAATTTCTCTTGGGATATTACCATGACATAGGCCCAAAGACTCAGCCCAGAATCAACCTTAGGTCGAAAACTAAAGGAAAAATAAATGATAATAATGAGATGATGATGATAATAATAATTGCTAACATTATTATTTACTAAAATTTTATTGTAATTTTCTTATAAGGCTTTCTTTCTGTCCAAAGAATGAACCAGATTATGATAGATTAAATTCTAGTGGCCTAGTTAGTTGGCATCTAGCTGCCTTTGTACTTGATTCACCAAAAGGTCTGTGAGGGAAAGGAAGCAATACTCCAACAAGTATAATTTTCAGATTTTTTATTTAAAATTTTCCCTACAAAAGAAAACTCTTAAATGATCGAATGCATTGCACTTATTTTTCTTATTTATTCCTAGATAGCTATAAGCCTACAATTACAGAGAATGATAAGTGGAAATCACGCAATGTTCCAGTGAAGAAGGCTAAGAATGAAACAATAGTAACACTAATTCAACTTACCAATGTATTTCAAATTTATCGGCATCTTATTGTCCTCCGTAAAATGATCCTACAAGATAGTTTATATCATATGGTAAACTGAAGACAATAGAACCAATCAGATGGATAGAAGGAAATCATTCACTAGTTCACAAAAGTTTAGGAGCTCAAAAATAATAAGAGATGTGGAGACAGTACCATTACAGAAGCACTTATGTTAACAAATCAAAAATGTTTTGGTTCATGTGAAGCGGTTTAGTTCAAGAAACAGAACAGAAAATACATCCCCTATTACTCTTTCCTATATACATATATGTATATAGACTATAAATACCAGCCATATCTAAAACTTCAAACACAATTAAACTTTGAAGTGGGTATAGTAATAAATGAAGCTACATAGACAACCTGATAAAGGAGTAGAGAATAAATGTCACATACAGCAATACCCATTCTCCAGGCCCAAAAAGTATTTTTCAAAAAATTATTATGGAAAGTTGACATCAAAATATTTTCAGTAAGGGCTTCTTATTCTCAAGGATATAATCTCATCATACTTCAAAATTAAACACACCTTAATCTTTTGAGATAACCAAGGACCAATATCAAGGAGCAACCTGTTTCCTGATTCATCTTTTCGCTCAGATGCAAGCATGCTTTGAGCAACATATTCCTGCCCAGCCCCTTCTGCAACAACAATAACTACATGCCCATTCTCTTTTAACCGTAGCTCAATAAACTCAAAGAGTCCATCTCTTCCTTCCAAATAGAATGGAGACTCTGGAATCAAGCAACAATCCTGTTACATTGCAAATATTAAAAACTTTATTAGCAATAAATATAAGGCCAAGCCCCCTATTTGCACCTGGCACATTATTTTTTCCTATGGTCAACACCCTCAAGAATTTTTACTCCCAGTCAACACCCTCCATAATTTAAAACCCGTAAAAAACCCAAAAATTAATGATCAAACCCCCTATTTGCACCCTGACTTTGTTGGTAATTTGGGGTTTTTGGTGGGTTTAAATTATGGAGGGTGTTGACAGGGAGCGAAAATTATGGAGGGCATTGACCGTGGAAAAAAATAACATGCAAGGTGCAAATAGGAGGTTTGGCCTAAATACAGATCTGAAAAAAACCCAAAAGACACACAAACAGGGATCAGACTGACTTGCTGCTTTGGTGTGATTCTGGTTTCTCCATTTTACACAAAATGAAATTAGGTTTATTTCAAGAATATTATACAAATATGAAATTATTCTAAATACAAAACTAAAAGAAGTTGGATGATAACACTGGTTATAAACGCAAAAGTATTGACAAACTCATTGACAACAATAACTATAAATACTGTGTCAGTCAAATTGCTAAGAAAATTAATATCAAGGGTAGATCCAAGGAGAAATTATCCTAATATGGAAGAGGAGCAAAAATAAGAAAATAAACATGTCATTCACATTAAAAATGATACACTTCAATTGAGATTAACATTAACTTGACCAATAAAAAGGCAAGACCAAATATATATGATTGAGTACTAATATTAGATTTGTCCTTACCACATCTCGACTTGCCAAGGTTGCAAACATAGCGATGAAACCTGTTTATAACAGTGCATAATAATGAGTGCAAAGTCAGACTGGATAGATAGATATATACAAAAAAATGGATAAAGAGAAATAAACATAGACCAGTTCAGTTGTTACATAATATGAGGAATACTAACCACTGTATCTGCCCATGAGTTTCACAATACCAATTCCATTTTCCACACTTTCTACCTCCACATGTGCAGCATTGATGGCCCTCTGAGCTTCTTCAACAGCAGTATCAAAACCAAAGGATTTGTCTATCACCTAAAACCAGACACAAAAGACTTGACACCGCAAATAGAAGATTCTCATTGAAATACATCAAAACTGATATACAAACAGAAGAAGGATCTAAATTAGTGCGTCTTTTTGGAATTTGGAAACCATACAATGATTTAAGTGACTTTTATTTTATACAACCCAAAATTGAGATAACAAGAGATAGATGAATGGATTTATGAAGTACTCAGTGCTTTTTCAACCTTCACCAAATATCAATCAAATTAGTTTGGCCAGGACAAACAAACAAGCCATATTAACTCTTTTAAAAATCTTAGAGAACTTACTGCAATATCATTATCAATAGTCTTGGGGACTCCAGCAACTGCTACTGGAAGACCACGTTTCTCAACTTCCTTGACAAAGAGTACCAATAAGTAACCACAAAGCAGGGACAGATAAAAAAACCATTATAGTCCAATAGATAGAATGGAGTGACAAGAATCATCTAATGTTGGAGGAATGAATCACCTTGTAAATCAGAGCTGCTCCTCTTTGGGTACCATCTCCTCCAATAATATACACCTGAAACATACAGCATTTTAGTATTGCTGTTCTATCTCTCTTCTTTTTCTTCTTCTCTTCCTTCTTCTTCTTCTTCTTCTTTTTTTTTTTTTTTTTTTTTTTTTTTTTTTTTTTTTTTTTTGGGACTATCTAGTATGCTTTTCAGAAGCTGCCAGCAACACAGCAATCTTAATTATATATGAAATAAAATATACATTTACCTGATTGATTCCCCTGTCCTGGATGTTATCAACTATCTTCTGGGTATCATGACCTCCTCGTGAAGTGCGAAGAAAGGTGCCACCACGTTTATGAATATCATTCACAACTTTAGGTGTCAACGTCAACGTATTTTTTGAGTAAAAGCCTCTATATCCTCCCTGGAAATTAGGGCCATAGTGAATAAAACAATTTAATGTTAACACCAGCAATCATGAAAATTCAATCAATGAAAAAGTTATCAGAGAAAATTATAGAACAATTCTGTGTCCCAACGGGCAACCAAGACATATTTCGGATTGAAAGCCTTGTGTACCATCTTTTACCTTTGTTCTAATTATCAGAATGATTGAGGTAGGCCCCCATAATGATATTCAAAATAAAAATTTATGTTAATTTTTGTCAAACTCAGAACAGATGGAATACTTAAAGGTCTTCATTTTCCAGTTCCAAGGTGTCAGTGCATGATCCCCACAATAACTAATAAAAAAACCAACAAAACAGCAGGCATGGTAGCATCACCAGTTTCATGCCATATTGCGGAATGGTAATTTGCATGATAATCTAACAGCAGCCATTACCACACCATGGTCTAATCACTAATATGGAATGGAAAAATAGCTCAATATTAACTAAGATACCAATAAACATAACCCCTACCACCCAACAGATGTAATTTGAATAAAGATATTACTCTATTAGATTGAAACCCATCTGCCCTTGCTTTGAAAAATGCTAACCGTGAATTTGGAGTTACTGAGAGCTTATTAACAAAAAAAAACAAGAAGGAAATAAAGAAGAAAATAGCAACATAAATCAATGACTACAACCATAATTCAATGATTTCAAGTGGAGGGAAATTACAAGTAGATGTGGCATCCCTAAGTGTTAAAAATTGAAAGAAGAATACCATACAAATTCATTAGTACAAACTGAAAACCACTGAAAACCATCTCCAGTGACAAAAATACAATATAAAATATACTAAACTCACCTCAATACCAAGTATATCACTGACACCATACATATAGTTCAAGCCACATACAATCTCCCGAATGACTGTGTTGATCCCTGGGCACAAGCCTCCACATGTTACTATACAAGCACGCACCTCATCTGACTTGAAATAGACCTACCACCAAAATAATTATCAAATTAGACTTGTATCTCACATCTCAAGGGCACATTATGTTTGTTCTAGGAGAAATTTACACCTTTTCTCGAGGCCCTGCTCGATGAAAATGTACTCCTCTGGGACTATCCTTTTGAACAACAATCTGAAAGAGACAAATCCAATTGACTCAAAAGACGGAGAGAAAATGGCTATGCCAATAACTTCAGATAGTTCTACCAAGGTGGGAATTGAAAGATAAAGTTGTCATTTTAATTTTTGGGTTCTATTCTTCCCTATTTTCTTTACGTACTTACAGTTTTGGCAACCACATCTTCTGGACTGACAAATGTTTTCCTGGCAAGACAGAATATTAACTGTAAGATCGTAATGAAACATGTGCCTCATTGCAACCAGGAACTATCAAACTAAATCTACATGGACATACTCCTATCATGTGCGCAAAGAAACTAAAGAAGAAGTAAATCAACTTACTTGACAATGGCATATGCTTGGCTCTTTTGTAGAGGGTTTGGGTATGACTGAAAGAAAGGAGAATAAATATATTAATAAAACATACCAGACCAACTTGACTAAACAGCTAACTATTATCCAAATGTAATTCCCACATAATCCACAGACAAAGAGTAAGATTGTGGAAGTTATTAATCAACAATGGGATAAAGAGTTTGCCATGTAAATCTATTTGAGAAAGATATAGTCGAAATAACTATGGTCCTTTACATGAATCTCATTCTTTGTTTTTCTTTTTCCTTTCTCTCTCCACTTCCACAGATCATTGCACGAAGTCATTAAGTCAAGTTCTCTTTTACTATTTCACAATCCCATCTCTCCTATACCTTCATTTTACCCTTTCCACCCTTATAAGCAAAACACAATTACTAATACCAACAATCCGCCTTTTCAAGCCAGATTGTATCACAACCAAAACCATCTCTGCACATTTCTTCTCGTCACAGACACCTGCACTTGGCCAAAAGTGCATTCATGGAAGCGTAATCCCTCCTCTAACTGCCACTTGCCTACAAACTACACCATGCAAACATGGCCTAAACCTTCCACATACTTATACCAAAATAATCATAATCAAACTTATTCATTCACAAATAGGTGATCGGGTATCACAGAGGGTTTAAAATTGACAATCAAAATTATTACCACAATACAATTTATTTGAAAATTGCAAAACATTTCAAACTAATGGCATTGATTAATAAGCACAAAATCACCTTCTACATAAAGAAATGAAATCCAAACGCATAACAAGTGGCATCCATCAATTACCGGCAAATCGGGAAGGAAATTAGTCAGGTGAGGAACGTCTTCGAGGACAAAGCCTTCGTCAACCTTCTGATCCAAGAACTGCGCTCTGATCCGACTGTTTTGGCGCGAAATTAACGGTTTCTTGGCGAAGACTCTAGATTCGAAGTTCAAGCTATGGAGGAGTGAAGGTCGTAGCAGGTTCTGAGGTTTGAACAGAAACGGAGGAGAAGGAATTGCGAGATCCATGGAAGGAATCGGTTCTGAAGATTCCGGAAGAAACGGAAACCCAAGTCCGGGAAACAACCACGACGGAACAATCTTGAGAAAAGAGAAGAATATACTAGAGGGAAACGACCGTTAAAAAGCACGGCGAACGGCGGGCGGCGAAAGGGTACGGTCCTCGCCGAGCTTGCTGCTGACCGGAGGAAGCCAAATAAATTATTCTCTGCTATTTTTTTCGTTGGTAATCTGCAGAATTTTTTAGCACTGTGTTGACCATTGACAGGAGAAAGCCAAATCCGGTACGAATTGTACGCTGCGTTGAAACTTCTGCGGTTATT